ATTAGAAAAACTATTCTTGGTTGGGAAAAATGTCGAGAAAAACCTTCGAAACCCTAAAAATTTCCACAAAGTGAAAAAACGCGGAGTTCTACCGCAGCACCCCCTAAAATATCTTTAGCTTAATATTATGTACATTGTTAAAAGCAGAACTCCGAGGTACTATTAGACAAAAACTACCCTTGCAAAAAACGCGTTTTCTCATACTTTATTATCGAATAAAAAGTTTTCCCACAAAAATTGGTGTACCCATTTTATGCGTGAGCAACTTGCATCAATAAAACCAGGCTTTACAATTATTTCGGGGAAATTTGCTGATATGATTAGACTATTAGACACTGAGAACTGTAGAACTGTTCGAAAATAGTTCAGAACTCTGAAAATAATCAAGGGTGCTGCAAAAAGGGATGCCAACTTCCGGCGGGCCTCAGTAACGACTACGACCAATCAAAGTGAGCAGTTCTTAGGCCCGTATCGTCAGTCGTCCCTACAATTGTATGGCCTCCTTGATTGTCATAGTTTTCTACTTCTCCGTGTCAGCGCTCTATTTTGAGGTTATGTCAAAAACATCTATTTGCATCAAATTGTGCTTGCTTTTGAGTTATATCATGTTTTAACAGCCTGAAATTTCCTAAAATTACATAAACTTCGAAGTTGAGTCATTTATTTTAACAGTGAGTAGATCTGATCAAAAGAAATGTTTTTTTCCTTTAACATTTTTGTGGTAAAATTAAAGTAACAAAGTTATAGCCCTTTAGAAGTTTGAGTACCGTCCTGTCTCAATAATAATATTATGTGCTCGTGTTTGGCAACAACGGATATAATCCGCCATATCGGTTCATCGCATCGGAAACAAAAAAGCGAAAGAATTTGAAACGCTTATCACGATGTTTTTACTACAATTTTATTCATTTGTATTCAGTCATGTGTCAGTCGGTAACGCGTGAGTGAATAGTGATGTGTGTTGCGTGGCTCAAACGAAATAAAAAATGGCACATGTTTACGAAAATGCAGAACTTGTGGACGATTCTTATTTACGGGGGGAAGTCTTTACAAAATGCTGCCGCGGCATTACGAATTTATGCGGATCGGTTTCCCAATCGAGTGCAACCAACCCCTCGTGCCTTTGTTAATGTAGTACAAAGGGCTCGTGAATCAGGTGACTTAAGACCTCACAGGGGAGAGCATGCCGGTGCTCCAAGACCGCACGATCAAATACAGGTCCGCACTGAAATACTTGTCGGGAAGATACTTTAAAAAACAAGGTAACATTTTTTTTCATTTTTACACACAAAAAGAAAACATATATTTACATTAGGAGAGCGCTGACGCTGACACGGGACAAGTGTAATCTAGAAATTTTTGAAGGAGAGAAAGGAGTATGATAATCAAGGAGGCTATAAACGCGTCCTACAATTGTAGGAACGACTGACGATACGGGCCTAAGGTAGATTTCGGCCATCCATCGAAATCGGATGAGCGCTAGGACGCTTCTTGTTCGTCAAGGTACAGTACTGTGTTTTTGAAGCATTGCGTCCCCGAGCAGTAATAACCTCTCTCAGTTACATTTACAATAGCAGCACGTTTCTTGCGGCAGACAGGTAATGCATTATTTAACCGCATTATTTTAACATCCGGCACGGGTATCACGTATCTTGAAAAGTAACATTATGTCGAATTTTTTTTACTATATGCTGTTTTTTTTTGACATTATGTAGGTTTTTCGCCAAGACGTTGACTTAGCACTTAGTTGTACGTGTTGCCTAAACGTCATGAGGCTTGTTATCAATATTTGGCTCTGATGTGATGTAAAATCTGCTTCTGAGGTGGCATTACTGGAGGTATAAGCTGTCAGTTGTATGTGTTGATGATAATTACATTCAACATAGAGTAAAGGACAAAAATATTATATCTTACTAACATAACAAACTTATATTAAATTTTTGGTACATATATTAAATTCAAATTAATGTCTGGAAAATCAGGAAGATCTTGTTCACCTGCCCCAACATATTTTGCATTAACATTATAGCCTTCAATTTCCATTGAACTCCATACTTCAGCCAATACATTTCCTGAAAATTCGAAATTAGAACTTTCTAAATGTTCATCAATTGTAACGCCACGTTCATCCAAATGAGACCCAAAATGGTCATGAGGCAATATTAAACCAGCCAGTTCCCGACTAAGAGGAGCCATCCTGCGCTCTACTCTGTTATACACACTTCTTCCAGGAGCATTGGTAGCTAAAAACAATGCATCGAGATCATGTCGCTTAAGTGTTGTATAGCAAACCCTATGACTTTTCGATAACGTGGATTTTCATCTAGCCCTCCATCAACCATCATGATTACCACTGGTTTTACTAGTCCATGGTCAGTTTTAGCTAATGGTCAAAACTCTTCAAGTTCGAGAAGCGTCTCGAAATCCTGAGCATGGATATTAGCAGTAGATGAACTATGCTTTCCCCTTCGAATAGGGATGTATGTTGGTCCAGAATATCCAACAGCTTGCGGTTGTCCTAGCACACTGGAAGTGATTTTGATACCAGCATAAACAGATGGTATTAATTTATGATGCTCAGCAATTACCCAATCGTGATCAGGCAATTTGATTCTATATTCCATGTGCATTAGAAGAGGTGCTTGCTTATTTGCCGCAGTTACGCCAATAGAGACTCGAGCTTTATCATCTTGAGATATGAAAAATACTTGATCTGGTCCAAGTATGGATGCTATGTTCTCTAAATAATGGATTGATGTTTCAGCGAACTTGCTATCTAAGTGGCTCTTGTGGTGATCAGTTTGAGCCTGAATGAGCTTAACAGGGACTGTCAATACATGTTTTCATCCCTCTGCAGAATTAGATTTTCTGGGAATCAAATGAAGATATGTCCCACTACGACTAATGTCAAATCCTATTTTACTTAATTCTTGTGTGAGTTCATCAAGAGTTTTTACGCTGCGAATTGATTCCATTCGTCTTCTATCATCTGCTGCACTCCCAAATAAAGCTATATCCGCGATTGTTTTCAATAGTGAATGTTGATTTTAGTCAAGATTAGGACGACCCACTGAATCCCTCAGAAATAGCCTTTTTTTATTTCTGGATTTTCATGACAAATATGTTCTAACTTTCTTTTCATACCATCCCTGTGTTTCTTCTGGGCAACTGCGTTTTGAACCTTCCTGTTTAAAGACTGTTTTTATTTCCTCGTGCAACTTAATGATCTGTTTATCAACTTCAGCACGGCTTGGCATAGTATCTCCTGCAGAATACAAAGCATTCAGATTCTTTTCGAGTAGAGCAATCTTATTTTTCATAGCTTCCTGAGAAGGTTTTGCTCTCTGTTAATCTGTATTTTCTTTAATTTCGCATTGCTGTTGTGATTCATTACCGGGTTTTATTTTACCTTCTTCCTCTTTTTTAATATTTGAAGCTGACTGTATAATTTATGTTTTTTCTGCAGGTTTACAGGTTGCCTAAAAATAAAAACTTTCTATGGCTTCTGCTAAAGATTCTCTTATTAAGCTACATAAATACAAAGTATGGCAATATATATGGTAAATACAAAACCCTATGGCTTTAAATCTAATATGTTTAAACGAGCAATTCATTCCGGTCACAAAATACAGGGTGTTAGTTATATGTATAAAACTAACATCCTGTACTTTGTGACCAATCGACATAATCAATCATAAGAAATAAATCTATAATATAATGAATATTACCTCTATACTTTGAGATAGGCCATAATATTTTCTAATTAGTGAAGAGAAACTTTTTGGCGATTTCTAATATTTCTAGTACTCATAGGTACCTAAAATGATTTCGTCACTCACCTTAGAAGAAAAATTTAGTAGATTGGATTTATTCTTAGTTGCCGCTTGCAATTCTTCTTCGATTCTCTTAGATACAATAATATCTAGTTCCTTAGTTCCTTGTCAGGTTTTGCTTGTAATTTGTAATTTCGCCACACTTCGTGTATGAGATTTTTTAAAACTTTCAAACAATTTTTGGTATAACTTGGATTTGTCTATGTGAAACGACATCTTATTTAAACATTAAACTTTGGCTAATGGAATCAATGGTAACACAAATGTTAACTTGCTTTACGTATGCATTATTTGCGGGAATCCCCGAAAATGCGTTTCGTTTTCAAGCAAATACAATGTGACGTAATCATCATCTAGACTCCCCTACCCCCCATGTCATCCAAAATAAGCACCCCTGAACTGATTTACTTTAGCCAGACTCTGCCTGAATGCATTAAATGCTTAATTTTTTGCATATTGCCATTTGTTCACCATCGTAACACTTTGATACCTGCACTTGATTAGAACATGAAAGCAGGCAATTTGTACTACCTGAAAAATTCCAAAATCTAGAAAGAGGAATCATTGGGACTATTTAGCCAACATAAAGCAGTGCAGTGCTGAATAGCAGTAGCCATGGAATAGCTTTGACAGTTTGCAACATTAATCAACATGCTATCAAATCTGACAGCCAAAATAAAACTGCTGTCAAACCAACAAAGTAATCCCATGGCTACTACTGTACGTTGGCTGAACGCTGACTTTACTTTGTGCAAAACAAAGTTTAATTTCATCTGTTGCTTTATACAACATTAAACAGGCTATACTCCTGCTAGTCATTCTGATATTCTATTTATCACTTTTTGATAAGAGAAAGTAATATCAGTTAAGTATGTACATTTTAATCGCAGTTATCATGTTCATATTGTCTGCTGGTAAATTTACAAAAATGTAGGTATATTGATTCAATTTGGATCCAAGTCAACATAACCTCACTTTCTTTCAAAAAACCTATGTAAAAATCTACCGAATAAACTCCTCAATTAGAGCTTATAATTGAAAGTAAAAAACGAAATGTACAAGACACTCTCGACTAAAATGTCTCTCAGAAATACGGTTTATTTATCTGGTCTTGGGTGTGTGAAATGTAGAATTATCAAAATAGAGATGGGACAACAGGCAACTTACACGACCATTCCGTAAGCGCCTTCACCAATGTAGGCGAGATTCGTGTACCGGGGCCCCACTTCGAAGACCTGTCCACGAACGACTTCGGCATTCGGATTCGTTGGCGTAACCACCGCAGCACCTGTGGCTTCGGCCATGTTTTCGCGATTGTGACAGGAAAGCAACACGATCGGAGGAGGCCACACACACCGCACAAGACACTTCCGGTAAATCAATCACAACATACGTCCCTACTCCGACAGCACCTCTGCGACTGACTGAAACAGCGAAATGCCAAAGAGCGACAGCGAAATTGAGGCTTGAGGAGAGCCGACTGCTACGGACGGCGATTGAGTGATTGAGGTTCGAGGTGCGTGCGAGAGAGAACGGTGATATGCGGACAATACGGAGGCGACGTTGCCACATCGAGCATTGAAGAAAGCGCACCCCACGACGCCGGCAACAGATTTGTGTGTCTTTGAATTTAGAGTTTCTGAATTTAATGTACTAGCACTGATGTAGTATAAGTTTGAGTTAAAATTACAGAAAGTCGGCCATGATTATACCAATTTTACTATATCACAACTTATTTTGTATGAGGTTTTATTATAATCAATAACTATTTTAGAATGATGACAAAAGTAATTGCAAGGTTGAAGGAACTTTGATCCAAACATTTGATTATATTCGCTTTAGTGAACGTCATCTATTGAACTAGTTCACCAAAATGATTAACGTATTCTGCTTGAATGTTAAACCTAAAGTTATATTTGCCCATCCAAAAATTATCCGAAATACAATTAGATAGGTACGCTGTCATTTAAGTCGTTATAGCTGTTATATACAATATACAATACATTGAAAAGGTAGTGTCTCATAGATGGCGCTGTAGCCAATTATATGAGCATTTACTAGCATATAGGCTGCGCCACCTAAAATACACTAACGTTTTCAAAGTATGAGTATGTAATATAATATAGTTCAGCTGTAAATATTCTCATAGATGACGATACGATTTTATTTTATTTCACATATTATTATTAAATATACATTATATTTTAGACGCAAGAATATAGCATCAGGTTGGCTATCTTCATAGAATACGTTAATCAACGCTTGAATTTTTCCTGTGGGAAGAAATTCAGTGCACACTGCACAGGCTTATCTAGCTTTACACCACACATCTGTCCAGGCAACCGTTAACACAATTACGTATGTCGTGTTGCGTACTAGTCATCCACACTTTGACAGACGTGAACTGTCATTCTGTCAACGCAATTTTTCTATTTGAGGTTAAAGCTTGTGATTGTTTTTAAGTCGCTTTTCCGCTGACTTTTCAGGCGGTTTTCAGTTTCTCCAGTATTGTTCGTTGCATTGAGGCCTACTAACGTAGCTAATAAAAATGAATGCTCCACCTACCTTCGAATCATTTCTGTTGTACGATGGTGAAAAGAAGTGAGTTCTAAGATTCATATCAATGGTTTTGTATCACAAAAAACAACTTTGTTTTAGGATTATCCGGGAGCAGGATACAAAAGTACCTAACGCGGCTATTTTTACTATAAATAAGGAAGACCATACACTGGGAAACATGATCAGAAAGTGAGGAAATTGTCTTATGATTAATACAGGGTTGAATATACAGCATTTGGGTTTTTAGTGTCAACTAGGAAAAACAGCTTATTTTGTTATCATATTCATTATATCACATGACTAGGGTGAATATGCCAGTGGTCGGTCAGTTTAGACAACATTGGAATACTTATAATTACGAATTTTGTGGTCAAGTTATCACAACTAATGTTTTTGGAGGTTATGTTCACTTTTCGCGAACAAGAAATGCATTGCTTATAGATATTCCCGTAATTTTACAAATTAGTCAAAAGGGAGCTATTTTGCCAGTACTCAGACAGACTTACCTGTGTGACAACACAAATAAAGTATTGTTATTACCAATATGATGCAAATGTTTTGAAACATCATTACTTGATCTTGGACTATCCTTGAACTCTTGTGTTATTTTCAGCCAACTATTGAAAGATCCCAATGTGCTGTTTGCTGGATATAAACTTCCTCATCCACTTGAACACAAATTCGTCTTGAGGATTCAAACTACTTCAGACTATTCACCTCAGGAAGCTTTGATGCATGCTATTACAGATCTCATTTCTGAGTTATCTTTATTCGAAGAAAGATTCAAGGTAAGATTTAGCGTGGTTAACATTTTTGCTGAACTGTTTGTGTTGTTCATACATTAGTTGGTAATTTATCATTGACTGTAGTTTAAAATCCCGTAAATTCCGTTTATATGATAGCAGTGTGTCATGATACAAGAAAAACAACCTATTTGTTCAGGTTTGCCTTTGCGATCCATATTAGGGCCTCTCCTGTTCATCATTTACACTTTTGACATTGCTAACACTTCAAGTCAATCTTATGCTGATGATATTCAAGTTTTCTATAGTTTCTCTCCAAACTACCACATCGCAACAACCTTATTAATCCAGATTTACAATATATGGGGTGTTTCAAATTTGACCCTCACCACTAGGATCTCGGAAACTGTAAGAGATACAAAGTCATTTGGGCTTACTAGTAGTGGTTTTTACAGATATTTTCAATCCACAAATGTGCAGGAAGTGATAGTATTTCTTTCCAGTTTTAATTGGGACAGACTGCTTATTAATAAATCACTTGGTGATATGCTTAATATGTTTTAAGATGTGATATATTTAACAATTGATGTTTTTGTTCCTCTGAAGAAGTACTCTGCAAAGAAATTTCCCATTTGGTTTTCTCCAGAACTTAAATAAATGATAATTGAAAAAAGAAACTACACAAGAAGTACATTAAATCTCTCTTGCTAAATGAATATCATGAGTTTTCTATTCTCAGAGCTCAGTGTAAAAATCTAAAAAAACAGTGTTATCTGGATTATGTCAATACAACTGAATCTTCTCTTAGAGAAAACGTGAACATTATTTGGAAATATGTTAATAGCTGTAAGGATTATCAGTACATACCTTCAGAAGTACATTATAATAATGTCAGTAGTTCTTCTGGTTTACAAATTACCAATTTGTTTGCATACTATTCAATAAAACTGGACCTGATGGTGTACCTCTGTTGTTGATTAAACATTGTAGCTTTCTGATTTCTAGACCTCTATTTTATAATTTTAATCTTTCAAGTGGAACTTTTCCGGAAAACAAGCTGCATTACTGCAATACTGAAATCTGGAGATCCTTCACAAGTCAAAAATTATCGACCTATCAGTAAACTGAGTTATATTGGAATGGTATTTGATATCGTAGTGTGTGAATTTTTATCCGGAAATAAGGCATAAGACCGTAAGACGAGTGCTCTTGTCGCTCGACATCAACAAAGCTTCTGGTCCGGACTGGATTCCTGCCATTGTACTGAAGAGATGTGCAGCGGAGCTTGCTCCAGTTCTTTCGCGTCTCTTTTAGATATCTTATGAATCCGGCACCTTCCCTGAAAACTGGAAATTTGCTCATGTACAGCCCATCCCAAAAAAAGGATCTAAAACCGACCCTTACAACTACAGGCCTATAGCTCTGCTTTCTGTTATAAGTAAAGTGATGGAGAGGTGCATAAATCGCGAGCTTCTAGACTACCTCGAACGTCACAGCTTGATTAGCGACAGGCAGTACGGTTTCCGGCACCAACGATCCACAGGGGACCTCCTAGCTTACGTCACGCAACTGTGGAGTAAACTCATCCAGTCTCATGGTGAGGCTCATGTCGTTGCTCTTGACATCACGAAAGCGTTCGATCAGCTGTGGCACGCTGCCCTCTTAAGCAAACTTCCATCCTACGGCCTCCCAGAAAAGCTTTGCAGATGGGAGGCTGACTTTATCTCTGGCCGCAAGATATCCGTCGTAATTGACGCATTCTCCTCTTCATCCCACAACGTCAACGCGGGTGTTCCCCAGGGATCGGTCTTGGCTCCAACACTGTTTCTCTTACATATCAACGACCTCCTTTCCTGCACGATCAACCCAATCCACAGCTTCGCTGATGACAGCACTCTACATGCAGGAATTCAGAGTGACAAGCCGATGTCTGCCGCTGAGCTGGAAAAAAGAAGACTAGCGACGACTTCTTCTCTGACAAGAGACCTGGAAGCTATCACTGCTTGGGGACGCAACAATCTTGTACAGTTCAATGCTTCCAAAACACAGTACTGTACTTTGACGAACAAAAAGCGTCCTAGCGCTCATACAGTTTCGATGGACGGTCGAGTTCTACCAAAGAGCCATTCATTTCGGCTGGTCGGAGTCCAGATCACCGAGGAACTGATCTGGCACGAACACATCTCTTCAATAGCTGCAGCTGCTGGGAAAAAGCTAGGCTATTTGTTTAGGGCTAAGAAGTACTTTTCTCCGCATGACCTTCTCACTCTATACAAGGCCCAGATAAGGCCTAGCCTCGAGTATTGCTCACACATTTGGGGTGCTGCCGCCCCGACTACATTGTCCATGCTCGATGCTGTCCAGAGGAGGGCGGTCCGACTGATCGATGACTCTTCTCTAACAGACAGTCTCGGGACTCTTTCGCACCGGCGGGCCGTCGGCGATCTAGCTCTTTTCTATCGCTACACCAACGGGCTTTGCTCCTCAGAGCTCTTTTCCATGATGCCGCCGCGCGATGTGCCTGCCAGACAGATCCGCCTGACTTCGGCGTCCCATCCTAACCGTGTCAAACTTCGTACATCCAGAACTGGCCGATACGACCGCTCCTTTGTTCCGAGGGTGTCTAGATTGTGGAACAATCTACGGGAGGAAGCTTTTCCCAGTTGTACTAACCTTAGGCAGTTCAAAAATCGTATTAACAAAATTTCTTTGGGATCATCATAGCAGCCGCTTTTTATTCATGACGTCCCTTGCCGCAGCAACTGTGAAATCTATCTCTATGCTGAAGACACTGCACTGGTGGCCCAGTCAGTCGTGTTCTGGGAATCTGGTTCACGACAGGCTGCAAAGTGCGCTGGACGAGGTATTGGAATGGGCCATCTGTGGCTGATGAGAATTAATCATTCGAGAACGCAGGCAATCTATTGTACTAAAAAACGTGACAATTTCTATCATCTATAGGTATTTCACACGGGGTTTATTTTTTCACTATAGGTATAGTCTGTAATCAAAGGTCTTTATTATGGTATACAGAAAAATACTGTTTATGATTTGCTTTTCCCTTTTCTTTGTTCCAGGAAGCAATCAAAGAGAAGAAAGAAGGACTGGATTAATTTTTTAGTATAAGTATTAAGTAATTTTTAATTCATGTAAATAATAATTTGTAAACTTTGTTATTTTATTTCGGGCACTTGTATTTGACATTGGTCTATTT